TCCATTTGGTGCTTGGCTGAGTTCTTTATCTCTTCATTTGATGTTTTAGGGTTTCAGGATTGTTGTATTCTCTGTTCGGCTTAGTTTTTCGGATCTTTGCTGTGGAGGGATGGCGTGGTGCTTCTGCCTAGAGCGCCATTTTGCCGGAACTCTGGGCCTTGCTTTTTTATTCATTCTGATAATCTCTGCCTTTTAATTGGCATGTTAATCTGTTAACACTTTATGTAATTACTGATGTGATTGGAGTTAAGTCTACCTGGTATTTGTTTTCTGTTTTCCCTTCTGTTTTTAGTTTCTTTGGCTCCTTTCACCTTCCTTTTGACTATTTGAATATTCTTCATAATTCTATTTTAATGATTGATTTTTAGCTACAACACTTATATGTATATTTTGGAGTTGTGGGGTTTCTCAACCTCGGCACCATTGACACTTTGGCCAGAATAATGATATGTTATGAAGAGCTGTTCTGTGTACTGCAGGATGTTTAACAACATCCCTGGCCTCTACCCACTAGATTCCAGGAACACCCTGCCCTGTCATGACAAACAAAAATGTCCTCAGACATTGCTAGATGTGCTCTATGGGCCCAAATCACCCATGATTAAGAAACACTGCTCTACAAATTATGATATAAATACTTAAGTTTTCACAGTTTACTTAGAGATAACATTACACCACTTCACTTAAAACAAAGAAACTTTGCAAACATAAAATTCCATTTATACCCCTCCTCACTGTCCTTTATGTGGTAGTTGTCGTGTATATTACTTCACATTTTATTTTAAATCCCATAATCGATGTTGCAATTTTTTGCTTTAAGAAGTTATATGAATTTCAAAGAAACTAGGAGAAAAAATTGTCTTTTATATTTATTCATATGTTTACATTTCTGATACTTGTTATGTGTTCCAGAGATTAAAGTTTCTCTTTGGTATTATTTTCCTTACACATGAAGAATTTCATTTTAACATTTTTTGTAGTATAATTTATTCCTGACAGCAAATTTTCTTAGTTTTCATTTTTCTGAAATATCTTTTTTAGCTTTCGTTCATGAAGAATATTTTCTCTAATTGTAGAATTCCAGTTTGACATTTTTTTTTTCTTGTCTTTCTTTCAGTGCTTTCAAGATGTTGTTCCACTGTCTTCTGGCTTCTATAGTTCTTGACGAGAAGTCCATAGTCACTTGAATTGCTATTACTCTGTATATTCTCAGGCTGCTTTCAAAATTTTACATTTATCTTTAATTTTCTGAAATTTGATTGTGCTGTGCCTAGGTAGGAAACCCAGATGGCGCAGTGGTTAAGAGCTACGGCTGCTAAACAAAAGCTAGGCAGTTCAAATCCACCAGGCACTCCTTGGAAACCTTATGGGGCAGTTCTACTGTGTCTTATAGGGTCGCTATGAGTTGGAATCGACTCAATGGCAGTGGGTTTGGTTTTGAGTGCCTAGGTGTCCTTTTCTTCATATTTATCTTATTTGAGTTTGCTAAGCTTCTTGAATTTGTAAAGTTATGTCTTTCAACAAATTTTGGATTTTTTTGGCCCGTATTTATTTATTTTTCCTGCCCTATTCTCTCTCTCTTCTCTTTTTTGGACTTCAATTACATGTATGTTAGACATTTTGATGATGTCCCACAGATCTCTAAGCTGTATTTTTTTTCCTCAGTGTTTTCTGTTTCATCTTCAAATTGAATAATTTCTTTTGATCTATCTTCATATTTGCTGACTTTTTATCTTTGTTATTTTATTCTGCTATTAAATCCATTGGTAAAATTTTAATTTCCAACATTGTACTTTTTGTTCTAGAAATTTCCATTTAGTTTGCTTTTGTATTTTTTATTTCTCTTAGGATGTTTTATATATTTTTATTTTTCATGAATGTAGTTTCCTTCACCTCATTTAGCATAGTTATAATATTAATTGCTTTAAAATTATTTCCTGATAATTCCAACATTTGGGTCATCTCAGGGTTGCCCCTGTTGACTATTCTTCTTGAGAATAGGTCATTTCGGGTTTTTTTTGTTTTTTTGTATGTCAAGTATCTTTAGATTGATTTCTAGACAGTGTAGGGACTGTTAATTCAGTTACTTTTCTCCAAAGAATGTAAGGTTTTTTTTTTTTTTTTTGCCAGTAATTCAGTTGGTTAGATACAAACTGTCTCACCTGCAGTGTGTGGAAGCTCAGCTCTCAGTTCAGTTATTTTTTCCATGGTTGTGCTGTTTGCTCACATCCTGTGTTTGAGTGGTTCAGAGGTCAGCTGAAGACTTGGGCAGAAACTGCACCGCACCTGGGCCTCCTCTTCGCTGGCTGTCTTCTTTCTAGGATTTCCCTTTCTCTTTCTGGTAGCTATGGCTGCCCTAAATTCTGTCTGCCTCATGATGGAAGGACAGTGTTTTTCTATTGGAGCTTCAGTTGTGCCATTTCACGACGTGAACACAGCCCGCCCTCAGTCCAAAGCTGCAAAAGCAGAAAACTCACCCAGTCCAGTCATTTTTTCCAGGTTCAGCTCCCCTTCAAAATCTGCCTGCCTTTATTCTCTCTCCATAAGCTACAGGTAGAAATTTTTTTTTAATTTCTTTTATTTTTTAAAATTTGTTCAGGCAGAGGTTCAGAGTTTTCAATTGTTATCTTCAAGGGGGCTGTCTACTGGGAATCTGTCTGTATATGAAACTTTGGCATGTGCTCTTGTAGCATCTTTGGAGATGATTTTATGTTTACTCTTCTCCTTAGGTCTAATTAATAAGGTGAATCATATTACAAATTTCCTAATATTGAAATATATTTTACACTTTCATGGTATGAATCACACGTAGAATTAGTATCATTATTTAACAAGCTGTTGAATAATAATTATAAATACTAATAGGGATTTTGCATTAGCATTCATAAGTTGGATTGATATATAGTTTTCTTTTATTGTTCTCTCTTTGCAGGTTCTGGTAATATTATTAGTTAATTTTCTTTAAAAATAAAGTTTTCTTTTCTCTGTATTGAGTTTGTCAGATAAAGCATCAGCTTTCTCTGTTCCTTAAAAGGCTGGTAGAACTCACCTATGAAAATGCCTGCACCCGGTGCTTACTAAGGAGAGGTAGCGCTATGACTTTCTCAATTTGCTCTGTGGTTATTGGTACATTTAGATTTTCTCTTGTTTTTGCTCAGGTTCTATAATTTATATTTTCCTAGAAAATCACTTAGTTTCATTCAGATGTGTAAATTTTCATTGAATTGACCAAAGTAAGAAAAAACCCATTGCAGTCGAGTCGATTCCAACTCGTAGCAACTCTACAGGATGGAGTAGAACTGTCCCATAGAGTTTCCAAGGAGTAGCTGGTGGATTCGAACTGCTGACCTTTTGGTTAGCAGCCGAGCTCTTAACCACTTTGCCACCAGGGCTCCAAAGTAAGAAAAGAGATCATTAAAAGAATAATAAAAGTTTATTTTGTATATGATATCTTTCTTCCTTATGTGGGGATTCAATTAGTTAATGGCTGATTGATTGACTTTAAAGGATCACCTCTTGGGTTTACTTATTCATAATAAAATAATTTTTTTTCTCATTCATTATTTTCTATTTTTATTTGTATTATTTCCTATTCCTCTACTAGTATATATTTTGTTGTGCTTTTTATAGTTTCTTCATTTGAAAGTTTAATTCGTTTATAGTTAAATTGCTAGATATGTGAGTTTTATGGCTGTTAAATTTTCCTTAATGCTGCTTTCTCAGTGTCCCACTGATATATAGTAGTATTTAGCTATTATATTTAATATGTCCTGCTATTTTTGTTTGTTTCCTCTTTGACCCAATAGTAGATTGAAGTAATTTTTATTTAAGTTGATAGGTTTTTATCCTCTTGAGTTTTGTTATTGATTTCTAGCTTTATTTGCATTGTGTTCAGAGAATGTTTTCTCTACCATTTCTACTCTCTGAGATTCACTGACTGTTTTTACATTTAAATAGTCAATTTTTTTCAACATTTCATAGCTACTTGAGAGTACAGTCTCTGCTTTCTGCATAGGAGCCTGATAAATGGTAATTAGAACCACTATCATTGTGTTATTTATGTCTTCTCTATCTTTACCTATTTATTTATGTATTCATTATTATTTTGACTATTTAATCTGTTATAGACTGAGCTAGGAGAATTAAATTTTCCTTCTTCTATGGTAGAGTTTTTTTCTTCATTTTTAAAAATATTTTTGTTTTGCAACTTTGCTTTGTAAATGTTGATGCTGTCTTGTTTCATGTAGAAACATGGAGCAGTTAAATCTTTAACTTATTTTTTTCATTTTTTTTTATTGTGCTTTAGGTTAAATCTTACAGATCAATGAATCTTTATTTCAGATTGTAATATTTTTCATTATAAAGTGTCCTTACTTATGTCCCGTAAGGCCTTGCCTGCTTTTCTACTCCTTGTGTGCTGAATATTATGACCTTTATATTCTTTTTATTTGACTTTTCCTGGTATGTTGTTGCCTATTTTTTTACCTTAAACTTTCTGAGTCTCCTCTTCCTTTTTGATGTGTTCTTGCATACAGCATCTAATTGGATTTACTTTGTGATACAATTTGAAAGTCTTTTTCTTTTTTTAATGGAGTTAACCTATTCACGTATATTGACATAACAGTTATAGTCTTAGTTCTGCCATCATGATTTTTGCATTATTGTATTTTTAAAAATATATTATGATATTGTCTGCATTCCCTTTGCTTTCCTTTGACTGTATTTTCCTTCTAATAATGTGGAAAACTTATAGTCTATTTTCCTTTCTAGTGGTGGTTAACTTTACAAGTGTAACTTGCCCTAATATTCTTAATCTTTTTAGAATATTATCTATTGACTCCCTAACGTGAACTTGTAGACATTAACAGCCCACTTCCTTAATTTTCTTTTTCTACTTTTCCATCATTCATGTTTTAAAAAGTTGCCTATATTATCATTATTTGTTACTTTAATGGCTATTCATTTAAACAATATGCTTCCACTTGATGTGACATCTTAAATAGTGTGTATTGAACATTCATTCTGAAAGATGAGAAATCTGCACGTTTATATTATTTTCATCTTCTCTCATCCTTTACCTCCCTTCTTTCGTTAGTTTTTGAAGATCTTTACTTATCAGACAAATTTCGTATTTCATGGAATATTTTATTTCCCACGAGGTGCCCCGTTATTACCACAGAGAGTCGATGTAATTCCAGCCCTCCTAATTAACCTGTGTGGCTTTATCCAGATTTGCATCCTGGGGTTAGAGCAAGAAAGCCTGTGCCAGCAGCTGGCAGGCTGTGAAATGCTAAAGGACTTTCCCTGGGCACCCAGAGGTGGGAACATAGTGTGATGAAGGGGAGGTATTTCAATTATGCTCAGGGTTTTTTATCAAACCTCAATAGTAGAGAACTGGGCTAGGAGTCCGGGGTTCTAGTTCCAATTTTATAGCTGTTAACTTAGTTTCCTCGGTGACTTTAATCGTCCTTCTGCTTCATTAACGGTCTCGTTGTCAGGCTCTAATGAGAGAACTCGAAAGCACTTTGTAATGCACTTCATAGGTATCAGGTGTTATTAACAAGTTCTGACTTTCTCACAGATCAAAGCTTTTGTTCACAAGGAACTAAGTAGATTAATTTGATTGTTATCTTTATTTCCAACTCAGTTAGCCCTTCTTGGTCGGGCATTAAGTCAGCATTATAAGGTCAGAGGTCAGGCAGCAGCAGGCAAGGAAAGGAGGAGGAGGAAGAGAGATTCAGCCCCTAAATAATCCCAAACTGACACCAGCGGAAAGCCCAGAGTTTGAGCAAATTCGCTGGTTCTAAGACAATTTAACATTACTACCCACTGGCAGTTGATGGTAAGGCTGACATTATTTACAAGGGTTTTTACCTCCCTTACACCAGTCGACTTTCAATACCCAAGAATAAGTAGAAAAGTGAGATTAAAAGGGATGCAGGGATTCTGGCATCATCATCTCCTTAGAATTAGAGCTGGGTCTCAAAATCAATTCTTCTGATTCCCTTCCGTGTTCTTTTCTCTGGAATAGTATTGAATGTTTTATCTCCTCCACTCTCTCTCCCGTGCTTTTCTCCCCTCTCCCTTCCCCTTCTTCCCTCCCTTCTTCACTTCTCTCTTCCCTCTCGCCCTTGTTTTATTGTCCTTTCTGCTCTCTTCCTCTCGTCTGACTCTGTGGGTGAGGAAAACCTCTCCTATTAGTGTAACGTCTACTTCTCTTAAGAAGCCATAAAAAACACTGTCAGAACTCAGCAGAATGTGTGCCAACGCATCCCACATACTGGTGCTTACAAAACAGAGTTGTTTTGTTTGATTCATCGTGTACCTTTGACTTAAAGTGAAGGGGGAAGGGCTATGGTGAGAGACAACCAAAGTTTATTGATTTGGGAGATGAAAGCAGATTCTCTTTGATTTCGAGCATATTCACCAGAGGCAGAACCAGGAAATGATAAAGGGCCTGGGCAACTATTGCTAGTACGTACCTTTTGTATCATTCCTTATCTGAGAGGGAACCCTGTATCTTATTTCTCTTGTAATTGGATGCATTCCCAGATTTTAATTAAAAGCTAATTTTCGTAATCCTATTGTGTCTATAACCTTTCAGAAAGGTAGAGGAGAGAGAGAAAGACCAAACCTATATCAGAATTAACCATAAGGTTGAAGTTATGACTAATCATTACTCCACCATTTTCGTGCTGTTGGGATTTGGGCCATTCACTTCAATTCTTGGCAGGGGCGGGGGGGGGGTCTCAATTTCCAATCTATAAAATATTAATAATGAAAGTGCCTGCCAGGTCTATCTCATAGGGTCACTGTAGACTTAAATGATGGCTTTCAAAGTGCTTTGTAAATTGTAAAGTACTAAAATAAACTAAGTTGTCATTTAAAGAGTTCTAAAAGTAATATTAGCAAATTACTTGTCAATGCTCCCAATTTATTTTTGATACGCTCACAAGAGATCACAATGAGGAAACTGAGATCCTGAGTGACTCAGTGATTTGTGAGTAATCATATACATTGATGATGGTGGGATCTGACACTGGAGATCCTCTGATCAAGCCCCCTTTTGTTATACACCTAACTGATCCTTGTTGTTGTTGTTAACTGCTCTTGAGTTTGCTCCCAAATCATGGCAACCCCATGGACAATGGAATGAAATGCTACCTGGTCCTGTGCCATCCTCATGATTGGTTGTGGGTTGGACTGTGATCCATAGGATTTTCGGAAGTAGATCACCAGGCCTTTCTTCCTAGTTCAACCTGGTCTGGACACTGAAAACGGTTTAACATCATAGCAACACACGAACTTCACTGACAGGTAGGTGATGATGGCACAGGAAGTGAATTAGCTGGGAAGCAAATGCGGGTCTCCCACACGGGAGGCGAGAATTCTACCGCTGCACCACGGCTGCCATCCTAGTTCTCAAATGTATTGCAACCTTTGAGACTAAAAGGGTCTCATTTCCTTCCTTTGGTTCCCATCTGAACTCTGTAATGAGGAGACAGAGTGTAGACAGTATGGGGCTTAGAGAGTAGGCTCTGAAATCAGGCTGCCTGGGAGCCAATCCCAGATCTGCCTCTGTGTGACTCACAGCAAGTTACTTAATAATCTGTGACTCAGCGTCTTCATTTGTAAACTGGAGATAATAATAGTATCTATCTCATTGATCTGTGTTGGGGATTAAATGAGATAGTATGTGTAAAATGCTTTTAAAAAATCTGGTATATAATAAGCATGCCAGGAATGAAAACTGCTATGATAGATTTGGTAGAAAGACATTTGTTAGGATTCAGGGACTTCAGGGGTGTGGGTCCTGATCCACTTCCTTGTATTTATAAGCCTGCTCCGCTTGCTGAATCTGCTTCCTCGTTTGTAAAATCTCTAATGTATTTTTTTTGGTCTTAAAACCGTATGCTCTTATGGTATTCCCTAGGTGTAGCAATTTTCCAAAAGTCATTGAGCTTGGAGAGCGAAATGATCTTACCTAGTTAATTCATCCGGTGAAAACTGATGTTAAAGAGGTTTT